GGTGATAGCTGTTTCGACTGCAAAGAAATTTTCTTGGCAGAAAGTAGCGGTTGTTTCTTGCCAGTAGTGTGCACAACTTTTCTGTGTTTTCTGTTTTCTCCCATTTGTTCGATCTTGGATTCTGAAAACGCAATGTTCTGAAATAAGCTGCCCCAAATAGATCAAAGGGCTTCTGCTGCGCTTGACTGATCAAGATTGCATTTTCCTTCAAAATCCTACGTTTCCCGGAAAGTTTTTTCCCCACGAAGTGCTAATTTCCTTTTCCATGGCAAATGCCTGGAAAAGAGATAAACCCTCCGGACTACGCTCCCCGAGATTCCTCCTTCTACTTCTCTCTGTTCTCTTATCCTTCTCTTTATCTTCTTTCCCACTCACTACTCGCCCCTCCAATCCCAGTCCTGGCTTCCTCGCCGTAGACACTCGTCTCTCGTTCCACGCGATTTCTCCTTTCGATTGCATCAAATCTCCACAAGCACACCCGGTGATTGCTAGCACCGTCGAAGGCGTTCGATACCCGTTTCTGTACTCCCTTTCCGATTTCGGAAATTTGCCTGACAAGCCTCACAAGAACATTGTCAGAATCCTCAAAGGGAAACGTTTTAGGAAACCCGATATTTCGGCAACGATTCAGGATGTTTTGGAGAGGATGAAAAGCGAAGGACGAGATGGTTTTGTTGTCGATGTGGGCGCCAATGTGGGATGGCAAGCTTCGCTGCCTCGGCTATGGGTTTTCGGGTTCTGTCATTCGAACCTGTTTTCGAGAACTTGCAGAAGATTTGTGAAGGGATTTACTTCAATAGGGTGGCGGAATTGGTCACTCTATTTCAGGCTGCAGCATCGGATCGGCTTGGTAACATTACCTTTCACAAGGTACTGTTTCTTGACGATTGCTATTGATTGATTTCTTGCATTAAATTTGATTTTCCTTAGTTTTATGGTGAAGTACGAATTAGTGGGAGATGGCAGAAAATGGCTTAGCTTGTCGGGGATTAATTTTAAGTGAGGGGAGTAACTGGCTAAATGCTTAGCTTAGGCTTCATTTCTAAATCAATAAATTTAGATTTGGAAATTGAGTAGCATACCTCCAAGGTTTATTTCTACTCGAGTTGCTTCTAATCTTAATTTCCGAACAATTACTTATTCTTGCATTCTGAGGCACCCTAGGATCCGAATTCAGCGGAATAGATTCAATCTGTGTGTGTATGAAGATATTTAATGAAGTTGAGGCATACATGTAAGTTTGATGTGTGAAGCTGTGTCAGAAACTTAGAAAATTGTACTAACTCTCGTCTTAATTATAAGACCTCATTTAGGACCGGAGGTAGTGGTCTGTAGGTGATAGCAAGATACTGAAAGATCAGTTGGGGAACCCTGGTACAGGCTATTGATATTGACTTGTGAATAATGGTTAACTAATATGCACAGCTAAAGTTGTGGCTTACGGCTTTAATTGGATGGGCTTGGATGAATCCATCTATAAGCGTTAACAATATCTTCTAGATATACTGTTGAATCATAATTCTCTAAGGCTCCTAAAGTCTGTACCATGCGCAATTTATCACTTGTCACGGTGGAAGTTATTTTAAAATAATGCTTCTCTGCTTCGTGGTTGAAGCTGTCAATAGTTTGACAAAATTACAACACGAATTCATTCTCATTTGTAGTTTGGTTAGAACTTGAGACTACGTAGTTCCAGTATAAAGATGAGTCATTTGGATCTTAACTAAGTATTACAGGAAATGACGCAAAGAATGAGCACGCGGAACCCATTTTCTTGCTCTTTATATCCACTTTTTTTTCTCTATTTCTCTTTCACTTCAAAAACACTTTGCAAACTTATAAATATTTTGCTGATCTGCTATAGTTGGTTGGTCGGCTGGACAATAGTGCTGTTTCTGCAACTGGTGCAAAGTTGGCATTTCAATCCAATGAAGAGATAGCTCTTCAAGTAAAGTCTGTTCCTCTAGATGAATGATTCCTGAGTCGGAGACAGTGCTTCTGCTAATAGAGTTTCAGGGATGGGAACATCATGTGCTTAAAGGAGCATCGAAGCTTCTCTCAAGAAAGGAAGTGAGGCCCCATATCTCATATATGAGGAAGATGAGCGCTTGTTGCAGGCGAGTAATGCATGCAAAAGATTCGCGGACTTTCTCAAAACTGTGGTGTTATCATGATTGTACTCAGCATGGCACAGATGCTCATTGCACCAAGAAGGCTTCAACATAACTTTCCTCTTCAAATTTTCTCTCGATGGATGGTGGGGTCCGCTGGCATATTCATTTTAATCAGTTTTGATTAGCTAGCTTTTCAGCTATCTATAATACAAAAGAGCATTGGGTAGAATTTCTCTTGATTACAAATGCTAGCGAGACTGAGTTAGGGATTGAATGGTTACAGCAGGCTTCAGAATATCTTGATGAATCTCACACAGTGATATGAGTTGGAAATAGATCTGCAGCTTGAGGTGTATTCTCTAGGAGCTTTAGGTTTGATTTCCTGTTCTTTTGTTTGAAATTTGATTTATCCATTTTTTTCTTCAAATGTATGTCAGATGTAGTGAAATTACAATGCTAATGGTCAATTGGCCTCACATCACATGCCCGCTTCAAATGGTTACCATGTCGGCCGTTGGACGCTTTCTGATATAACCAAACTGCATAAACATTGAAATGAACAATGAATGGAGAAGCTATCCATTGTCCATCTTGTTACTCATGAGCTGAGGCCAGTATTTGAGAAGCAACAAATTATCGTAAACGAAGTAATTAAGCCCTCTGTGTCACTCAAAGAATTTGGCAATTCAGCTTGTAAGCGCGTGGGGTGGCGGCAAAAAGGAAGTGAGATTTGCTTGTGAGAATGCATTTTCAGTTGAGAAAAAAGCCACTTGTTAATCTCTTTTCAAAAATTGTTAAAGATGTGTTGTGATGTTATTTTTAATCAAAAGTTGTTAATCCTATTGAAATTTAATCAATACCCACACAAAATTCGTCCATAACTTGAAAAAAATGGGTTGTTATTTATTGTGATGTTGTTATTTCTTAATTAAAAGTTATTAATGCCTATTGAAATACAGTTAATACCCTTATAAAAGCTGTTGATAATCTGAAAAAGTAGGCTGTTATTTCTTAATCAAAAGTTGTTAAACTGTGGTGTGGTATTGTTTTTTTCTTAATAAAAAATTGTCAACAACCAGGTAGTTAAAATTGAGAAGATAACTTATATTATGTTTTGGATTATATTGATAGCAAGACATTGGTAACCCAATAATTATGCAATATTTTGGCCTAAACCACTAAAGGGTGGTGCCAACGATGGGCACCGCGACGGTATTCTGGTGAGGGGTTGGGTTTTTTTTTTTTTTAAAGACTTTTTTTAATAAAAGGCATTGTTGTCAATTTCCTTAATTTTAAAATGACAATTTGCGATTTCCTCCCATTTTGGTATTATGAAGTGTTAACTTCTCAAATTGGAATTGAACTTTTTTTTAGTTTAATCTGTTATAAACATTAGGAAGAATTATAATTGAGTCCCAAAAAAAAAAAATTACTAATAAGTATCAATAACAAGTAACAGTTATCATTTTGCAATTTGAAGCTTATCAATTATAGGCTGTTATGTTGTCACGAAACCTTTTAGTATTATGTTTTTATTTGAAATTTCGTAGTGATTCTCTCTAAACATTATCATTGAACGTGAAATTAGTTACTTTTAAATTTATAGAATTTCATAGATTTTATGAAATTTCTTTCAATTCATTTTACATCATTTTAACACGCGCGTTTCATAAAATTTATAAATTGAAATTATTGGATCAAATAATAAGGATTCAATTGGAACAATAAATTACAAAATCTAATACAGGATTGAGATAAAATTATAAGGACCTCTAGATCGATTTTCCCCGGCAGTAATTATAAGCCGTGAATTCTATGGACCTCGGTGATTTTTTTTTATTAATTATCACTTTTCGAATTCAGTTTAATAAGTGTGATTCCTATCTGTCTTTTTTAATTATTTATTTTATCCTTTTGTCACTAGAAAGAATCTGGGTGTTAGAATGCAAATCAAGTGTACATATATTTTTTCCTTAAGCCAAAAAAAAAAATCTACTCATTGCTAGTGGAAAAGCTTTCGCCCCAAGAAAATAAATCGTTCAAATGAAACATCTCACAAATTGACTATTGAGAATAAGTAAGACTATCATACTAGTAATCCCATTGGAGGACATGCCAAGTTATAGAAGATTAAAACAATATAATTGTGATTTCAAATGGAGCCCTCCGCATTAAATGTAAAATGAAGTTTATTTATTACACAGTATAAAGTTACTCTTACATAAGATAGACATAATACATAACTTCAACCTGTACAGGTCACAGATTTGTTGTACCCTTGGATCTATAGAATGAAAGTAACTCAGATACAAAAGCTTATTCCTTAAGATTTTTTGGTCCACTGTTTTGGGAAGAGCCAGCTCTTTCCACCATGACATCGTAAAGCTGCTTCCCGTTCTGCTTGTTTTAACAAAGCAGTGACGATCAATTAAAAACAAAAACAGAAAGGGAAACAAAATGTCAAAAGCTTGAAGTTCTAGACTGCTTACAAAGATTATAGGGAAGAAATGAATTTGTCCCTCGGGCTTTGTTTGTTTCTCCTTGAAGTACACTAAGATAGGGAAGTTAGGCCACCAAAACTCCCAATTAACAAATGTTGAATACCTGAAGCGCATCAAGCAAATTTTGTTTTGTTTCTCATGCTTTTATGAAATCCTAGTTTCATTAGATTTTCATAACTAAATTATCCACTTACTTCCAACGGTTTTTCCCACCTACAAAGACATTTTCACCTGATTCCTTGAGTTCGTCACCAACCTTTACCGCCTGAAACCATAAAGTTCGTAGACTAATGCTAATTTTATTTGTCAATAATGATAAAAACCAAAAACCCTGAAATGGTAAAACTACATTTACACGAAGAAATAACAAACAATAACCACAGTTTCGGGAAGGTGAGAAGAGAACTTACCAGAGCCTCATCATCAAAAACGAATCTAACTCTAGTGGTCTGAGGAAACGAAAGGAAACATCACAAGAGAAGCACTCAGCTAGATTCTTAGAAGTTAGAACTGGAAAAAGTAGTGCAGCTAAAACAGATCCTGTTATGCTTGCAGCCTGTAAAGCTTCTCTAACATGTAATACTAATTAAACCTCATCCACTTAATTACAAGTTCAATTATTGATAATTACCTGGACTAACAGAAGCAAACCGAGGAGACCAACAGGGATAGCAGGAACCACATTATTTGTGTAAGCCAACCCACCAGTTATACCTGATATGATACAACTTAAAGTCATCATTATCTATTTTATAATGAATAAGAATAGAGACAGGAGTATGGAACACTTCCTTTCTTTTCTTTTCTTTTCTTCTCCCCCCCCCCCCCCAAGAAAAAGGTCACAAAAGGAAATACAATCAAGTGTTATCAAAATACATCACTGGGTACACGGTAGGGGAACCACTAGATCCCAGCATCCTCAACATTTGCAAGTGCACAAAGCTGGCAATTTTCAGGAGCCATATCCTCATAAAGGAATTTTCCTTTTCTTTATAGTTGTAAACATTCACCTGATGACCAATACCCAAGAAGAAGACAGCACACTGAAGGAGATGAGTGTGTGTGTGTGTGTGAATCAAGTTCTTGCCTTCTAAGATTGTAACCTTCCATCACCACCCCAAGCAAAGAGCTATAGCAATAAAGTTCTTCGGTAAAAAGTGAAAGAATAGTTTGCTTGCCTCTATACTTGCTGCGTGGCTGCTTACGATTATGAAATTCTAGATGATATTAGTCCACAAGCATTATGAAAGTTGATTACCAAGAAAAGTTTTACAAACATTCATGGGTCACCATAGTCTAGTTGATATCTCAATTAATGTACAGGTCATCCAAGTATTATTTTGACTACCATTTTCAACATTCATCTTTCCCGGAGAACAATATGCATTCGTGTTTAACTTCAAACACATTAAGTTATGGACCTATTTCTAGTCAATTAGAACTCTTCATTGTTATAAGGGCTATTGCTCCCTCGCAAAGCTTAATGTGTGCTAAGGCACATATAAGACAAGGAAGAACCAGTTTTTACCGAGCAAAACAATTGGAATTCGGTAATCTGGGTCGGGAATCACAGTCTCTCTGGTCTTGACTCTCCTTCCAAGCTGTCGACAAAGAAAATCAACAGCGAGAATTACACAACTAAAACCAAAACTACGATTTAAAACCATGTAAGCATTGCTGCTCTGAGCATCCTTATATCGGCATGTTTACATCTAGAAAATTAAAATTATGGAATTTTTATTTTAATCATAATAATGATTTCTTGTAAATCACTAAACTATGTATAACTATATATGTGCATATATTGGTGGAAGAGTTCGGTAGTAACCAGTGAGGAAACCACAAGACGGCTTCCATGGCGAGTAGCTATCTCTCTTCTCAAAGAATTGGGATCACACAGTACTTGTCCGCACAACGATGTCTTGATGTCAGTAACGTATCCTACATTTTCCTTTTCTAGAACAAACAAATAAAGTATACGCAATTAGCTCCAAATCAAATGTTTCCCCATGAAAATGGAAGAACAGCCCAAATTTCATCTTGTATATCCTATGGAAGAATTATCACAATTCCTAATTAATTGTAAGATTCAAAGAAAACCCTATAAAAGTTATACAAAATTAATCAACAAAAGAGATTAAAATAATGCATAAATGTCACTAAGCTTACTTCGCGAGGGAAGAAAGCGATAAACCGACAACAGAGAGCTCGCCATTTCTTTTAGTCTCCAATTTTGCTTACGTCCTTGTTTTTTTGGTTTCTGTGGGGGATGCAATTTGGGGTGAATAGTATTACGTTAATACCCACCTTTTTTAGCCGTAAGAAATGGAATACACGGGGGAATTCGGGATTTGTTCAAGGGCATTTGCGGAATACGAACCTAAACTTGACTCGCGGAGAAGAGGGCCTTATCTGTTTCAACTTTCAAGTTGGGTTCGGTGCCACTAGACGGCTAAAAGCACACACTTCAGCCTCAGGCTTTGGTTGGCTAATCCGTTCGATATTTTTCTTCTGAGAAAGCAAAGGCTTTGCAAAGGCATTTGAACTCCAGTACATGGCGCATCCTCTATTCTCCACTCCAATTTGTTCCTTGAAATCCTCAAACAGACCAGGTATTCTTGACTTTCTGAACCTTCTCGAACTTCCGAGGTTGCGAATGTTGTGTTATTGAATGCTTTTTAATTAATTTGAATAGGGATAGTGACCCGCAATTCGGTCGACCGAAAGGCTTTCCAGATAATCGAAGCATGTCAGAATTCTAAAGCTCGCAACTTACAGTCTTTCGAAATCAAGGTGAGAGTTTGTTTTCAGCTTCCCATTTAGAAAGGATACGCTTATTGATTATTGCTGATACAAGTTAATAAAGGGATTCTTTTGCTCGAACGTGTCATGTGGGATCAGTTTCTGTGTAGTTTTTGTGATACATAGTGTGATGAAGACCGCACAGTTAATAAACCGTTGCCTTACTGTTGCTGTAAAGCAAGGAGCAATGCTGGGTTAGCTGAATTTATGTTGATCATGGGGTAATTAGCTGGCGGTCAGTGAATTTTATGGCTGTTATGGTTCATGATGCCTGGGTTATTGACTGCAAACTCGACATATTTGATGACGTTGATTCATGGTTTCTTTGGGATTTGTTCGGAAGAAGTAGGTAGGCAATAAGCAAGCTGAGGTTCTATGAGAGGATTTGGTGGCTAGTGTCATATGCTATGACATTGATTAAGGACTTGAAATTATTGGCCAATGTATATGAAGATGTATTACTTGACAAAGTTTTTGTTATCATGCTAACAAATTGTTTTAAAGCACACTCTAATCTTGCTCGAATACAGGCTACTAATGATAATAATCAAAGCACCACCAAAGCAAAGAGCATCGTTTGTTCTAACTGTGAAGGAAATGGTAAGTAAAATGTATCGTATCAATTACTTTGGGATTATTGTCGTTTTAATTGTTTTCTATTGATTGGAACATGTCCAACTATTGCAGTTATATCTCCATGTGATTAAATGCATCGCAGCTAGTTTAGTACCAACACTAGATGGTAAAACATAGACTCAAGGAAAAAGTTGATTATCGAGTGGTTTCTTTCTTGTTGAGCGATTCCTTAGCTTTTCCTATGAATACTGATATATGCTCAGTGATATCCTCACATTGCTTTTACTGTGATGTTTGGACATAGTAGATTGGTCATGACTTATCTTTTGTATTGGGTAATCTGAAAATTAGCATTTACTTTCATGTACTCCCATATGTAGATCTTTACATTGGTGGTGGAGCATTTGAAATAATTACGTCACTTCTAGAATCTGATTGTTCATTGTTTAGTCAGTTTGATTAAACTAGAGACACATTGATGCATTATCATCTAGTTACTACTGATAATGTTGTGCCTACTACGCATTTAATTAGGGAAATTTCTTGTTCTTTTTGTTAGCATTGCCCTTTAATGCATATTTAGGATTTATATTTTGCATCTTCAGCCTTAAACGCCATCGGTGCTTCCAAATTTCTTAGTGAACTGGTGGACTTGCAGAGATTTTTCCCTTGAAGTACAAACGTCAGCATTAGACTCCCCATGATTTATTCTTTTGGTTCAATTTCTAGGTGCCATATCATGTTCTCAGTGCAAAGGAAGTGGAGTTAATTCTGTAGATCACTTCAATGGGCAGTTTAAAGCTGGTGGACTATGTTGGCTTTGCAGGTAGCTGCATCAAATGCTCATCTTGTCCTTCCCTTAATATTGTCCTGTGCGAACGTGTCTATCTTATGCTGTGTTTCAGTGAATAATTAAGTCCATATATGCATATGTTCCGCCTCCAGCACCTTGCATCAGCATGTTACAATGCATATGGATATCCACTCATTCTGCGCCTTTGTTTTTATACATGATGCATGTGTAGCTACGCTTCAATATATTACGCATAGCTCTGTCTAAACTGGGTTCATTTTCTTCTGTTAACCAAATCAATTAGTGAAGCAGAGAAGTTGGTGATAAGAATAGTTGCATCATCTTATGCTTCTCCTTAGTTATATGCTTCAGTTGCAACTGCTGTATAATGTCCCACTACTCTTAGGCAAAGTTTAGGCGACTTTGCTAAATTACAAAATTGAATTTGAACAAGTGCAAATCTCAGAATTTGAAAATATATTAGTAGGTGTTAGTTTCTTTTATCTAAAGCTCTCCAATATGCATGTCTTGCAGGGGTAAGAAACAGGTTTTGTGTGGAGAGTGTAATGGAGCTGGTTTTCTGGGAGGATTCTTGAGCTCATTTGATGATTAGAGTCGCAAGATTGCCTATAGAGAGAAAAGGTGGATCAAATGTTCCTCTGTTGATTTTTGTTTGTTTTGTTTCTAAATATTGCCATATGTAATTGTGTCTGTAAGAAACAGCATCTGTTTCACGGTTTTCACAATATTACCTTGAAGCAAGGGAAGTGTAGAATCGTTTTGTATTGATTGATGTTTATGACTTCATTCAGTGCATACCTGCTAGATTTTTCCAATATTTCCTGCTCGTTTGGTTGCGAGAATCTTGGCCCTAGAAACGGAAATTTTCTTTCCATTCCTTGCTTAAGCGTGATTGGTTCGCCATAAGGGCCCATAAACATCATTCCCATGGATAGAGGATGGTGTCATTTGTATGAGAAAGAAGACGTCTTCCTTAATTTGATGGAATGAAGATTCTGGGACAGCAAAAATGTAGTTGTGGCTGAAAATCCTTCACGCCGGTCCATCGCATGGAAGAATTGTTCCTCGCTTTGGCATCTCTTCTGTGCTTGTCCTTCCAAAAGCTCCGATGAACCATGGCATAGCCTGCTCTGTTTTTTTCCTTTTTTTTGGTGCCGAGTATAATCATCCTCCTATTAGAGGTAATTATGTCCGAGGTACTTGAACACTAAATGTGGGATTCTTTTAGTAGGCATTCAAACTTTAGTTCATTATCTTGTGAAGAACTAATTGTAAACCTGCATTATTGAATGAGTTCGCAAAGTTTTATTGGTGAATGTTTAAAAGATCAGGTTGATGATGGTCTAATTGAGGTTTGACAAGTTTGAAAAATGTCGTTAGCTCTTATGGGGCTTTATGGCCTAGGGCCCAGAGCCTGTCCATGATAGTGAAAGGTTGTGAGTTTGATTTTATTGTGACCTCAAATATTTTTGCCTTATATAATTTAAAAAAAAAAAAAGGGGTCTTTAGCAACATGCCCGTTTTTGTAATTCAACCACCACCTTTGCTGCAGAGTTATGTATTTCCTCAACCACTTGAAAGTCCTTTTTCTGCAGTGAAAAACTGAGAATTGATTGTTGAAGATTCGCGGGTAGCATGGAAGGGGAATTCTGCCCTTGTTAAGTACAATGATTGAAAATGGAAGGCAAGACCGAGTATTTTGATTTAATTTTGGTTTTGATAATGAAGACTGGACAGTGAAGGAGAGCTGGAAAAGGTAGAAGGCATTTGATATATTTAATTATATATATAATAGAATCTAAAGGAATAAATATAAAATATAAACAACTCTGTTCTCATCCCCTTTTTTTTTTTTGTTCTGTTGTTTAGAAAATCAAACTAGGTTAGCCGGTTGGATGGAAATATTGGGTGAGCCTGGCTTGATCGGAAATGCAAAGAGGCTAAGTTATCAAAGGCCTCGGGGGTAATTTGAAAGAATAGGACTAGCTAGTCGCACTTGTTGGGTTTTTTTTTTTTTTTTGTGTGGTAAGCACAGGTATTATCTGATTAAAGATAATCATGTATGAAATATTGTTGAACACTAAACGTGGATATTTTTTCTAATAGAGATTCAAATCTTAGTTTACCAAATGAGAAATTAGCCAATTCCGTTAAATCTAATCCTGTTAGTAGTGTCGGGACTTGTTGAATCTTTTTATCCATCTTTCACTCTGAGTTGCGTGCTAGGCCCATAGACCACTTTTATTTATGCTCTATACTGTTTGTTTTGCTCCCGCATGTAAGAACCAATAGAAAGGCCCGTTTCGATTTTAAATATAATTTGTAATTTGGTTAATTTAGATTTATATAGCAAAATTAATTCAGGTGCATGCTGATATTGATGGACAAAACAGATTTGCCGCTCCATGAAATCTCTCTTCTGACTTAAAATCATGATGTAACGTGTATTTCCTGCTCCAATCATGGAATAGATGAAATAAATAAAAAATAAATAAATTTTTATTCAAAAATAAAAGAAAAAATAGCACAAAAATAACACTTAAACCTGAAATTCCCAATTATGGTTACTTGAATAAGCAAAATCCCAATTTAGGTGTAAATGACTAATTTGGGATTTGTAAATTTGCTGAAATGATCATATTGTCTTTTTTTTAATTGTTTTTTAAAAACCAAATCCTCTTACTGGTTGGCTGGTCACCAGAGCTCTAGTGTCGACGACAATCACCATCACCAATGATTGGTCGTTGGAGCTCTAGTGACCGGCAACTTTTTTTTTTTTTTGAAAATTTGTACAATTTCAATAACATGTTTAATAAGTTTTGTAATGCTATTAACAATTTCGGTATAGCAGTTAGCAACAGGTTTTTTAAAAAAATTCAAAAAGTAGCATTTTTACAACTTTAGTAATACCATTGACAAGTTCGCTATGGTATTTAATAATAGATTTTTTAAGAAATTCAAATTCAAAAAGTAGCATTTTTAACAAGTTCAACATAGTAGTTAACAACAAGTTTTTCAAGAAATTCAAAAAGTAACATTTTTACACCTTTAGTAACACCATTAACTAGTTTCATAGCTCTATTAACAAGTTCGGTATAGCATTTAATAATAGATTTTCTGAGAAATTCAAATTTAAAAAGTAGCATTTTTAACAAGTTCAATATAACAGTTAACAAGTTTTTCAGGAAATTTAAAAATTAGTATTTTTGCAACTTTAGTAATATCGCTAACAAGTTCCGTAACTCTATTAACAAGTTCAGTATAGTATTTAAAAACATATTTTTTGAGAAATTCAAATTTAAAAAGTAGCATTTTTAACAAGTTCAATATAGCAGTTAATAATATATTTTCTACGAAATTTATAAAATAGCATTTTTACAATTTCAGTAATGTCGTTAACAAATTCCGTAACTCTATTAACAAGTTTGGTATAGCATTTAACAACAGATTTTCTGAGAAATTCAACAAGTAGCATTTTTGTAACTTCAATAACATGGTTAATGTTTTTAATATTAGCTCTCTATAAATGTTGTACAACAAAATTTTTTCACTTGTTAGGCAACCATTATGGTTATAAGAGTTATTAATATCACTAATGACTTATTAACCACTTTACTAAAGTTATAAAAAAAAAAACCACTTTTTGAATTTTTAGAAAACCTCCTGTTAAATGTTATACCAAACTTGTTAATAGAGTTATGAAACTTGTTAACAGCATTACTAAAGTTATAAAAATATTACATTTTGAATTTCCTAAAAAACCTATTGTTAACTACTATACTGAACTTGTTAATAATGTTATAGAATTTGTTAACTATATTACTTAAGTTGTAAAAATTTTCAAAAAAAAAAAAAGTTGCCGACCACTGAAATTCTGACAACTAGTTGTCAGCCGGCACTAGAGCTCTGGTGATTGCGGCCACTTGAGCTCTAGCAGCCGCTGCCAACACCGAAGCTCCAATGACTTGCCAATTAGTCAGGGTATTTGGTTTTTTAAAAACAATAAAAAAAAAAGATAATATGTTCATTTCAACAAATTTACAAATTCCATATTGGTTACTTGTACCTAAATTGAGATTTTACTTGTTCAAGTGACCATTTTAGGATTTTGAAGTTTAAATGTTATTTTTGTGTCATTTTCCCAAAATAAAATCCTACTAGAAGTGTCCAGTTCATCCTTCTCATAAGCCATCATCAACTATTAATTTGGTTTCTCTTACAAATTTACAAATTATAAGTATAGAAATTAATACCTATATTTGAATAAATTATAAGAACCCAACAGAAATTTTAAAAACACTACAAGAACTAAATTAAAAATAAAGTGAAAATCATGAGGACATGCATATTAATTTTACTAGTTGAAAATAAAATTTACATATTCAAGAAAGAGCTAACAACGTGCATGATTACAAATATATAGCAACTTCATGAATTGGACCGGGGATAAAAACACAACTTTATGAATTGATAATAATATACTACATCTGGTCTTTAATATAAGACCTTGTTTAACTTTTATTTTGGTTCTAAATATAAAACCCTAATCCATTTTGTCTCTTATATTTATATATATTTTTCTAATATAGTCTTATTAACAATAATAGTTCTAGTTAATACACTTGATTAGTAAAGACATTTAAAGAAATACAACACATATTTATTACAAATAACTAATTTAACTTTTTTTTCTTAATCTTTTCAAATTAGTCAACTAATTCTTATAATTAGGACCGGAGGTAGTACTACTTTCAATGCCTAATATAAAATTTAATTTGTGGTTTAAACTGAACTACAAATTTGCTTGTCCCACAATGTTCCAAGGTTTTGCCATTATTTACACAATAATTACACAAATAGCAAATAGAGAAATATCATCATGATACTAATATCAGACGCAGAACTTCGCCTGAAAGCTTGAATGATTTCTCAGTTTCTTCCAAACAATGATTCTTTTCTTCTCGGGTCCATCCCTGACGAAAACCATTGAGCAAACTATTTACAATGTCGACTTGAATTAATACCCCGTAAGCAGATTTAAATAAAGAAGAAAATAAGCTTTTGTACTAAAATACTCCATTTTATGTCATATTTTATTATTGTTGACACCCAGTGAACTTATAGAACAACAACCTATGGGTAAGCAGGTAAAGATTCATGATACAAGAAACTCACTTCTGTAACTTTATTCAACTTCTCCCTCACATTTCGTAACAGTTGGGAAAGTTGGCCCTCCCATTTATAGAACTCCAACACTTTGTTGTTTAGTATCTTCTCAGCTACCTGCAGGTTACTAAAAACTAAGAAATGGGAATAATGCCCTGACTATAGCAGGATAACACCAAAGCATTGACTATAAAATCGTGGAAATAAAAAGCCTAAAACATCATAAAGATATATCGTTATGAGAAGAATCAACACTGATGTGAGTTCCATTGTTGCTGGAAATCAAAACATACTCAGCCAAAACCAAAACACGTGGCTAGCCACACAAGGAAAATGCTGGATGGTGATTCATTCTTAACAACACAGATGAATAAGGAATCTAATTGTTCAATTCTTTCACACTAAGTTGAGTTAGGCAAGCATAGTAAGAAGGTAGTAAAGCAGACCATGAATAGTAAATTTGCTGCGAAACTGTAAAAAGGACTGCATATTGACAGTTAGACGGTTATCCTTACTGTTGTCCAATGTAAAACTTTGCGCATGAATCCATATAACATGTGGAAGAAGTTATGTTCCAACTCACATTTTCAAATCTTCCTCATTCTTTCAAATTAAGAATCATGTCTAATGTGTAACAATCGTAGTGATGATCATGAAGACTTTACGCTAAAGGAGATGGACTAAAGAACCACAGTTACGTTCCTACTTCATTTCCAAATCATCCTCGTTCTTTCATATTCAGAATCATGTCTATCGTGTAACAATCGAAGTAATGATCATGAAGAATTTATGCTAAAGGAGATGGACTAAAGAACCAGTTATGTTTCTACTTCATCTTCAAATCTTCATCGTTCTTCCATACGCAGAATCATGTCTAACGGGTAACAATCGAAGTAATGATTATGAAGACTAAAGAAGATGGACCAAAGAACCATTTCAAAATGCTATAGACATGCCAATCCACGAGTGAGACTTCTAAACCAGTTAGTTTTTGTTAAATCATCATGACAGACAATGAACCTCTAGCGAAAATTTTCATGTAAATGATCAGTTACCTTCTTCCCGATCATCCTACCACCAGCAGAATGGGCAAAGTATATGTTGTAGAAGTGGCAAATAAAGGCCTGGGGATCCTTTGCGGATGAATCCGTAAGATACTGTGCATAGGTCAGACCAGGTGAAGAAGGCTCCGGAATGGTATGACCTTGATCCCTGAACCATTCCAGATCTTTTGCCAAGTTTGCAGACCTTTCCAATCCTGTATTTCTGAATTCAGCATCTACAGAAACAAACTAAGAATTTCATCATCTAGCCACAAGAACTGACAACATAAATATACAAGAAATTTCACATTTATGAACATCAAGGAACACCAACTTACGAGTCAAGAAAGTCTAAAAGCCAGAAATGAATATATATATATATATATATTGTCAGCCAGAAATGACAAATATAAATGGCAGCAATAATTCCCCAAAAGAGGAAACTATGAGGATGAAACAGAAAAGAAGTCTCAAATATACGGGTCTGTTACTCTGAGTTGTTTCGATAGAGAAAGGTCAGGCGTTTGCATGGTTCACATTGTTCTTTAGCTCTTTAAACACTCATTTTCTAAACAGCAAACCTTGAAGTGTGTATGGACTAAGCCTGATAAGTTATAACATGAATTGTAGATTACTTATAAAACAGGGTGGAAGTGTTAAAATTTAAAATGATAGAACGTGTGTATTCAGCGACACCCTTTAACCCAGGTACACCATCAGTTCCAATCATGGCTTAGCCAGGATTATGACAATAAAAAATTTATGTGATTCAAATTTTAAATAAAGCACCAAATAAAATTTCGAAAACCATAATATCATCCACCAATTCCGCTGCTCCATTGAAATCCTAAAGTTACAATAGAAGAAAGCTTAAAAAGGTGAAAATATTTGGCAGTGGATTTATTGCATAACCTTATTTATCTGTCACGATGCAAGAGAGAACAAAGGGATAATCGGGATTTAAAAAAACACTTAGCCAACGTACCGTAGAGTTGGACCGTAACAACAAGATCAGCAACCATTCAAAATTAACTCAGATGCAAATCACAAATCAGCGACAAAAACTTTAAGCCAACATTAAGTAGAATTAGAACCCCAAGGGGAAAAAAATCAACAATATATAACAACAAATATCAGGAAAAATTCAAAACTGACTCATGGATGCAACTCACAAGCAGGAAAAGCAGCATTAGCGACGATCTTCTCCAGTGTATCATAAACCACTTTGCTATCCACAAGAAACCTCAAGTACCCCTCAATTGTGGGTTCCCACTTGACCACTGATCCCTCCTCAGGCTGACTGGCACGCTTCTCTCCCTCCTTAGACTGCTCCTTCGTATGCAATTTCATTGACGCAAACCTCATCTCCTCCACAAACCCCTTCGATTCACCAGAGTGACGAGTCTTGGCACTCTCGGCCGTCGTTGCAGACCCAGCAACGGCCTTCAATGGCATCTTTTAATCCCACAAGAGGAGCCCGAGATTTCACAGTCAACCTTCTCGGCGAAGATTGAACTATATTTTGCGTCGGCAATGGAAAGATTTTGAAGAGGTATGCTGATAAAGAGCTCAATAAAAAGGAGTTTGAATTGAGAAGATGGGTTAGGAGAAACCATGGCAGTGACGTAGCAAACAGCCCACAGAATCAATGAGACGTTCACGATTCACCAAACCTTCCAAATAAAATGATCGACCAGTCTCACTCGAAAGCGAAAGAAACAGGGACACAACTGAAACGTGACGAAGTATCCCTTTTTTTTTTTTAAAAAAAAAAAAGGTAAAACACACTGACTTCCTTACATTTTGGTTTAATTACTCGAGCATTTGATGTATTTTGAAAACATATAGTTGAATCCAAACCATTAATTCACCTAAAAATATTTCCAAAAAATGCTTTTTTTAAATTAAAAATTATATTAAATTTTTTTATTTACTAATTCACCCTTCATCATACTAAATTCCTAATTTTGATCACAATTTTTCGGAAGAATATTTCAAAGTTTTTTCTTTTCCTCAATTTTTTTGCAAATATTTATTTTTTTAATGTTTTTAGGACAAAAATTTAAATAACTTAATTAATGTGGAACTTATAAATTTGATTAATTCTTCAAATAAATTTATAATTAAGTAAATACGTTTATAAACGTTTGCAACAAAATCTTTTGTTTGAAATTTTAGATATTAAATTTAAATTATTTATATAATCTCTCCAACTTTCATCATTTATATTATATGATGAAAAAATGGATTTAAAATATTTTTTAGTCATCTAAAAAAACCCTAAATAAATATATTTGAATTGATGTGATGAAATATTGAAATTATAAAATTTTATAATATGACCAGAATTAATAAATCTTATAACATATTAGAAGGTTTGAAAATAGATGTATTAAATGAATTTTCGGTCGTACAAAAAAAGTAGTTTTTTTTTAACAAATATAAATGTTTCGCATAAAAACAAATATAAGTGTTTAAATAATTCTTGTGTGAAGGAGGAGTATTTTGGTCAAAATAAAAGTTTAAAAGTCAAATTTAACGATTATCTAATAAGTAGGTGGATGGAAATGAAATCTTAAATGTATAAGGGAGGTTTATATAACATATATTTTTAATTTTATAGGACGTCCATATATGTTTTCAAAACAGAGAGAAACCTTTTGTGATTTAGGTAAAACAGAGAGTGAGTGGTTTGTTTTACTCGTAGTTTTTCTTTTGGATCCTAGAAATTTTGGATGGGTAGGAAGATAAGGTTGCATTAAATATAGGAAAGAATGTTAGCCCAAGTAAAATGGGAAATGAACTTTTTTTTTTGGTTGAGTCAAAGTACTATTGGTGATGGCGGTGACTATTTTTCTTCTATTGTAGACTTTTTAATGAGGTTTTAGTGTTGGTCACAAGACCCTTTTTATACATATCTGATTTAGTGCCTGTAATATGTAAATTGTCAACTAATAGAGCAGGTCCAGTTAAAAAAACTAGTTCTTTATATTTGACAGTGTCTCAAATAGAATTATCTTTAATAGAATGACACGTGGGCTTAGAAAGAAAAAAGGTGGATTGTAGACATAATTTAGGGCCTGTTTCGCAAGCAGTTTACTGTAAAAGCTCGTGTTGGCAAAAACAAAATGTTGTACATGTAAAAGCTTGATAGGATAATAGTTGGGAAAATTTTAACACTATATATTATGTTTTTGGCATCGCATTGTATAAAATGTATTATATAAATTAATAATCTCATATACTTGGTTATATAATATATGATCCTGTATAGAATAAAAGTAAACTTTTTTTAATGAATATACCCTTTATCTAAATTTTAAATGTATATATTTAAAAATATCATACTATATTTATTTTTAGAGAGAAAAATTGTTATGTTACAAGAAACGATGGCAGCTGGCAGTGAAAGTTATTGTGAGCGCTAGTAATGGTGGCAGAGGCAGTGAAAGTTGACGCCAGTTGTGGCCTGTGATCGTGGCGGTAGCAACAATAGTTAATGAAATTTCTTTTTAAAAAAATCACTTTATAAGAATATCCTTTATTCAAAATTTAAATATATTCATCTAAAACTTTTATGATATATACATACACAAAAGAAGAGATTTCCTTTTATGTTATTATAATGGCGGTGGCAAGTGGCCATTGATAATGGTAAGTGATACTACTTCTGGTTCTAATTATAACACCTTAATATTACTTTCGGTTCTAATTATGACTCTTCATTTATAGTCTACAAATAAGATTTTATAATTAGAATCAGAGGTAGCATAATGGTGACTAGTGATAATTGTCATCGATGATGGTGGTAGCTAATGATAAAAGCAAAAATGACGGTAATAATGATTAGTAATAGTGATGACTGCTAAAATTGCCATGGTCGGTGATGATATTTGACTAATGCAATTTGTATCCCAGAAAATAGTGTGCAAGAGGAAATAGGTGCGCAGAGGGATAGGAAATTATTTACTTTGATAATAGAATAACAATAGTATACCTCTAGTAAATCTTATGTTCTCACAAAAAAAAAATCTTATAGTATTAAAGATTGGAAATAATATTATGTAACAAAATTTTAGGTCTTGGACAATCCCATCATAAGCCAAATTATACTTATCATTTTATTGTATAATGGATATCATGATTCATGGGATTGTAACCTTGTAATGAACAAAATCATAATTAAAGATTGTCTTCAACTAAGCTCATTTTATTTTTAAATATTAAAATTTCGATATGTTCAGTTGAAATGCGGTAATTACTCATTTCCATATAGAAGCGGAACAAAAGAATGACAAGGGTAACAAGTGACAGAATTATAAATATTAACTATTCATTTAAAATGTTATTTTAAATATTTATGAAATCAATATACTAATAAAATTTTGGTTAGACTATGCATTTAGCCTTTTAACTTTACACAAGATTTAAATTTGGTCTCTTAACTTTAGAAAGCATATATTTGGTTCTTTAACTATAAAATTATTAAGCATAAATGATTTTTTTTTGTAATAATCATAATTATTTTGAAAATTAAATTTAATATGTTAACATTTGAAGATTTTTTATTAATATTTAACATCTCTATGTCATCATTTTTTGTCAACAATTTTAGAATTAAAAAATTAAAAATATATTTTTTAAAGTTAAAGGACCAAATTAAAACTCTTTATAAAATCAACAAACTAAATATATTCTTTAGCTTAAAATTTAGACTACGTAACATTATCAATTGACAAATATAGGCAAGCATAAAAAGAATTTTATCTTAATAATTTGTCAGGATATTTCATAAATAAGATTTATATCTAGAATGCTGCATTATCCAAATTAAAGTGTAAGCGTATACTCAAGCTATCATATTATCTCATACTTCTCAGGACTCTAAAAAAATAAAAAAACTAATTAAAGTTGAAAGTTTTATTTTTTTACTGGATACCACCCTCTTAACCGCCATTAGCGAATGCAAAAAATTCTTGCCATACCGCTTCAAAAATTTGAGGGCATATTATGATAAATGAAATTAGAAGTGATGAAAAATATTATTAGGCATCACAATCATATATCTATTACTATTCTAGTCCTAAATATAAGACCCTTATACTATTGTGTATCAGGGTTTTATATTTAGGACCGGAGGAGTAGTTCTTAATTGAATATAATTCATTTATTTTTTTAATAGTAAATATTTTTCTTGCATTCCTCTCTAATTTATGCAACATTTGCCGCAACAGAGTTCTTATATCTATTATAAACTCCTAAGATGAGAATAAGAGTAGATGTTATCAAAAAAAAAAAAAAGAGTACAAAACACACCATTAATGATTCGCAGAAAATAAAAATAAACATTTCGTTGAGAATTTATTATAATTCATCCACTTGAGGAGTAAATTTGCACAGGGCTTTCAGAATGGTAAATGGCTTTTTCATCCGGGCTCTCCTTTTGTGAGGGAAATATAATTTACCTAAACATTCTTTCATTATGTGGCTTCATTACAAGGAAGAGATTACCCACCAGGGACATGTTACTTGCTTTGATTGTGAGGATATCATAAGTTATTTTGAATTTGAAACTAATTTATATTAAGGGGATATTTAGATAGAAACCAAACTATGGTTTCAGAAGTACTTTTACGGTTTACGAAGTAAATATGTGGAGGAGTTTGTCTTATTTTACAGAAAAGTACTTCTGAAACTATGGTTTAGAGGTTGCCAAACACCCCTTAAGACTTAGATCCTGTTTGGTACAGGACACTGGCTGGTGGAGTTGGCACTGGCATCGGCATTGGCATCGGGATTGCTTATTTCCTCATGTTTTGGTATAAAAACTTCAACAATCCCCGGACTGCCCAATGAAGAGGAAGGAAAACGACTATAGAAGTTGGCAGATAATTTGGGCCACAATAGAGGAAGAAGGAGATCGGTGATGGACTTTAGGCTCCGTTAGCATCCGACAGCAAAGAAAAGCCAGCATTTTGGGATTAGGGCTTGAGGTATTATTAGTCTCTTCATAATTTGTAGCTGATTATAAAATAAAACTAATGAAAACATTCCTCCAAATATTACCCCATACCAAATATAATTCTATAAAGTGAATAAAAGGGAGCATGAACAGGGAAAAAAGAGTGTCAAAGATAATTAAAAAAGTGCTATAGAATATAATTAATGGGAAAAATAAAAAATTTGATTAAAATTTCAGACATTATTTGACATTAAAAAACGATATTTTATACGTTCTAGTATATATTTGGCTATTTAATTTACATCAATTTCCAGTTTAGTTCATTAAATTTAAAAAGTATATTTTTAGTCCCTTAAAACTCTTAATATTTAAATGCTAACATATTAATTTTTTAATTTAATTATAAAATATAATTTTTTTGTCATTGAAAAAATTATCTCATTTATTTTAAAAATTTATTTTAAAATATTTTAAAAATCAGAGTTATTTTAAGGATTATTGTTATTATTAACTTTTATAGTCGATCCAATATCATAATTTCAAAAGTTGATCATAAAAAATTAAAAATTTACAACTTAAAAATTCATAATACTTTTAAATCATTGTT